AATTTTCAATTGGGCGCTGCGCGAGCGCATGTATGTATGTATATGTATATATATATATATATATGGTGGCGCATCTTATCCTTTTGACCCTCAGAAAGCGGTGCAAGCCTCCCACATGCAAGGCGTTCAGAAAGGTGATGTTGCCTGGACAGCACACGTTCTCTTCGGAACATTTCTCATGCTGTACGTTCATGAGACGCGCTGGCCTCAAATCCTACAGTCAAGGATGGCTGTGCCCCAAACACAACTCTGCACCTTCAGTGCAGGTCGCCGGGACATCAGCGCTTAACTGCCAGCTCATCTGCTCTCGGACATATAAAAGATGGTGAGGACGACGGATGACGACGGCCACCACAGCCAGCCTTAAGCTTCGCAAAGGGTGAAAGGTAAGACGGTTTATTCATCGGGCAATTGCCTTCCGAGCCACAGGATAAGGCAGACTAGTGCCTCGGTTTAGAGGTGAGCTCTGACCCAGACTCCCGAAGCATACACATGAAACATGCAGCCGTCGTCGCATGCACGAACCAGATTTTGCACGCCAATCTGCTTTCAACACGCTTTGCGGATAGAACACGGAAGCTTCCTGAGCTCATCTGCTCTCGGAGATGTACAGGATGGTCAGGACCAAGGCGACCACAACAAGCCTTGGGCTATGAAAAGACTGGCAAGCAAAGACAGATACTTAACAAGGCTATTGCCTGCCAGGCCACAAGACCAGGAAGAGTATCACCTCGATGTAGAGATGGGGCTAGAGAGTGGTTTGACTAATCTACTAATCCACCTTTCCATCCCTTGCTTTGGATGAACTACCCCCAACAGTGCACCCTCGGAGGATCTGCCCAACATGAAGATCAGGTTAAGATAGGATCTGCACGAAAATCGCTCCTGAGACGGCCATTGTCGTAACCTCTTACGGTGCCCATAGTTTCGAGGCTCTAATTTCGGATCGGCTGCCGGGATCTTCGGTACAGAAGGGGATAGTTTCGGCGCCCAGTTTCGGCACAGCGGAAGTCAGTTTCGGGACGCGAGTCTGTCAGTTTCGGTGCGCAGTTTCGGTCCCACTCTTGCAGGCCTGGACATCCAACTGACCATGGCGTGAGACCGAAACTATCCCAGATCATGTTCCGAAACTCCGCCCCAAAACTCAGCACAGAAACTCACCCTGCAACTCACTTCCAACCTCTTACCGCCCTCAAAGAAACGAAACTGCACAAACACTCCTTCGAGAAGCCAGTGCACAAGCATAACCTTCGAGTTTGAGTGTGGCAAGCCGTTTGCACCTCGTCCGCGAGACTCAGCCCCAAACCATGCGGCAGGGACACATTGGCACGTCTGCTGGTTGTGATCAAAGAGGCTGTGGGGATGTCGCATCACTTGGCCAATCTGCTCGCAAGCACTGTTCATAATGAGATGCCAACATCGGCTGGGATCGCAGAAGAGGTGGCTCGTGTGCAGTCACACTAGACGCCGAATCTAGCATCTCGTGAACCCAGCTCGCAGCACTTGGCCGATCTGCTCTCGACCGCATCTGGAGCAGGAGAGGTTTCCTCAGGTTCGGCACCACGTGCTCGGCCGTTGGAAGGACCCTTCGGAGTAGCTCCTCAGGAGTGCTGCTGTTGTCCACCAGGTCCATCATCACAAAGCCTGCAAGGGTCCAAAATCCTCGGCCAAGGATGGAGCTCATCACCACCAGTGCTATCACCACCCTGCCCTTCCGTACTCCGTCATCGGTCCATGCATGCGAATCGCATCCAACTTCGCCCGTCTGCATTCGAGTTGTCGCCTCAGATGTAAACTTCGCCAAACTGGCCCCTCTAAAGACGTCTGCACGTCTAACAGAGCAAGGTGGTACAGTACGTCTGTTGAGGCCTGGCCTCCATCGTGACATCAGGCGCGCAGCGGAAATCCCGACTCAACTTCCTGCAAGCCACAACCTTGAGATGCGGAGGTCTAGTCGATTCTAAGTGAGGGGCTCAATGTGCAGGAGATGGCGGATTTTCTCTAAAGTCTGGCACACAGGTTGCCCAAACTGAAATCCCGGGCCTGCTCAGGCTTGAGACCCTTGCGCCTGCATTTCTCCGCATCCACGACGACCAGTTTAGCAGCGAACTTCTCGTCAGGGAGTAACGGAACCAACCTGACCCAACGCCGTCACTTCTCTTGCATCTCACTAAGGAACCTGTAGGGGCCTGCTGCAAAGCTACAGATGCTGCCATCAGAAGCCAAGAAGCAATGATGGTGGCACGAGGCATCGCACCAACACCTCTACAGCTTCGTATGGCACGTTGGCAGCAAAGCACTGCAGGGCCCTGTAGGATTTGGAAGTGAACGGAGGAAATCATCGAGTTTGCACCCTCACCAAGTTCAGAGAGTAAACGTGGCACTTTTTTATCGCGCACGAAGTGTGACCGGTCGACGCTTACCACCGGAATGCCCATGCCACGACCAACCACAGGCTGATCAAGGGACTTCACGATGTCCAACTCTCGGAAGGCTTCCCTAACGGTTTTTACGCTTACATCCATGAAATGACAGTTCTGCTTTGCACAGATCCAAGACCTGAATGTGCAGAAGCCAACAAGAGGCACTGTCTAGTTCCTGCCGCCCCAGCCCAATGACCGATGATGCCTGCCCGACGAGCACATTCAGGAACTCTCCCAATCACAGAAGGAAACTTGACCTGAACACGCGAGCGCAAAAGGACTTTCCAAGAAAATTTCATGGAAACAGCGTTCTGCCTTGGCAACGTGGCTAGAACGATTGGCTGTTGACCGATTGCTGCTGTTGTCAACCACCCAATTATGCAGGAAAAAATCCCGGCTGCAATCACACATAGGATCCCAGTTCCCACTTCCTTTTTTTGGCGTGAGCAGGCCTCGTCGACGGCGGCTGCCGCACTCGGTCCTAACGAAATCTACAAGAAGCAACAATGAACAAAAAAGCAACTAATAAACGGTGAAACGAGCTGCGACCAACAGACTTAGCCGGCAAGAGTCGTTCAGCAATGAATTACCCGTCTCATATCAACATCGGCCTCTCTCAGATGCA